GGGGGGGGGGGGGGGTTAGGGTTGAGTTGCTTGGGTTTTTGGGTTTAGAGTTGAGTTGTTTGGTTTTTTTTGTGGTTTAGGGTTGAGTTGTTTAAGGTTTTCTTTAAGGTTTAGGCTTCAGTTGTTTAAGGTTTCGGGCTCAGGGCTTCGGGTCGAAATGTTTAGGGCTCGTTATTCAGGGTCCGGGGCTTGCGGGGAGCTGAACAAACGGAGGCCTTGCTCTCCGGGCTTCTGAGGAGGCCAAGGCTTCTTTGAGAGAAGGTTTTAAGGCTTGTGTTGGGCTGAAGGCCCATTTATTGGGTTCTAGGAGTACTAGAGCCGAATTTCGGCTCAAGCTTTATCAGGCTGCGTTTGTAAGCGTTGTCCGATCGATGTTCGGTTCAAGGCTTCTTCTCTCGCGTGCAGATTATATTTTGGGTGTAACCAAGGCTTCTGAAAGGAGCGGACTGTTCGATTTAATGTCGAGCACCAAACAATATATGGTCCGCATCCTACAATAGGAAACTCAATACCGCAGAGGCAAACAGCATTGTACTTACCCAGACACCCCACCTAACCGACAAAGCGCCCTTAGAAAACGACTCCATGTCTTCGGGGTTAAGGCTTTGCAAAATACTCTTCTTTTCTCTCAGGAACTGTTCGGCAAGCTACCGCAGCCCTTCTTACGGCTGGAGAAGTGGGAAACCGTGCACCGATTCAATTTGGGGGTTCCAGAAGCCAAGTGCGAAACAAAGTACTTCACCCAGCCCTTGCAATCCTACAAGCCTTTGAAGGACATGTTGGGAAACTATCCGGGATGCAAATTGCGGCGAGGAAGCGGGAAGCGCTGTGGGTGCGGGTGAAGCCAATCTCCCCAAGCAGACTGCCAACCTAGCAGCTTTCGTTTAGGACTTGCAGTCGGGATTCACCTGTGCTGTGGATCCTATAGCCGACTGTCTTCAAGGTTGTGATAAACTCACTATATTGCCGGGTATGGAATGAGGATTCAATCTGAGAGGCACGTGTCGAATGAGTTGAGTTGTATCAGCCGGTAGGACACCCTCTATGGTTGAGGGACCCCTTAGAGCCTTAGACTTTCCCCGTCGAGTTTGGGCTTAACCGCCCGTTTGTGCAGTTTCGACTTCATAGCTGCCGTTTACGCTGAGGGTTTAGGGTTCAGGTGTCCAGTACATGACCATCTCCACTGCTGCTGACCCTAAACCCTAAACCCTAACCCTGTATAAGTATGCAATACGTTTGAAGCCATGTTCACGATGCCCCCTTACTCTGCAAAAAAAGCTAAGTTACCTAGACGTCAGTCTTCATGACGAACCCCAGAAGGAAAAGGGCTCCATGGTAGGGGTCTTTTGGCTCAACCAGGGAACAAGCAGACCCCTCCGCCCTTCCCTGAGGGTCCGGAATCTCCTTAAGAGCAGCCTTTGGGTTTGTTTGGAGTGTCAGAAGTGCGAGAGTTGGAAAGTATCAGAAATCGTAGGGTTTAGGGTTTAGTGCGTAGGGTTTAGGGCTTAGGGTTTAGAAGCTCCGAGACGTTGCAAGACAAGGAGCCATCGTCAAGCTGGAACAGGTTGAGCTGCAGGTCGCCTCGAGGGCCAGCAGACCACCAAGACACACACCAAAAAACAACACCAAAATCAAAAGCATAACCAAAACACACACACACAGAGAAAAGAAACACCGCACAACAAACCACCAGCAACAGACATACAAAAAGGCTAAAGGCTCAGATCCAGGTGGCCGGAGTCGAGGCCTTTGCTCTTCAACTCCGCCAGTGAGCCTCGCTTTGGATTTTTGGGTCTTCCGGAAGATCTCACGAGCAAAGCAATTTCCCCAAAGGGTCCAAGTACCATTTTTAGTAGGTCCTTAGTAGGTGTTTGGGCCCCAGAAGTATATACTCTACTATTGCTTAGACCCTTTGGGTTCCAACTTGATAATGTATGTGTGAGGCATCTCGGATGTAGGCTGTGGTGTAGGATCCTTTTTTCGAAACATCAATTCCGTCTCCAGTCCAGCAGCCGGCTTGTCAGGTTGTAAGGCTCCCTTAGGGTCTAACGGGCTTCTGTCTTCGGCGCATTTGGATCAACGGGTTTTCTCTGTGGCTTCACTACCCGTACCAACCGCAACCGGAGACTCCTCAATCTTGTAGAACTGCATGGACCGTTCTTAGAGCAGAGTTGGGTTTCTTAACCGTGCACCCTAACGGCTAAACACAAGAAGCTGGAAATTTCACCTATTGAAAATCCCTCCTTTGCTATAAAGCATTGCAGTATGAACGACAAAAGCATTGTAGAACACACACAGTAAAAAGCAGCCCCGAACTTGAAGGAATCAATTCCGCAAAAGACCATCCAACTAATCTTTATGAAACCCCCTAAAACCCTAAACCCTAAACCCTAGACCCCTAAAACCCTAAACCCTAAACCCTCTAGAGTCTCGTACGGGCCTATAAAGCCATCAACAAGACCCTTGAAACAAACCTCTCAGCAATGCTTGAATAAGGGAAGGACAGCACAAATTCCCTGGGCTCTGTGTCGGCTTAGGGTTTGGGTTTCGGTTGTCTTTTTGACTTTTTGTCTGGTTTAAGGTTGAGGGGTATGCAAACTTCGTGTTGTTGGGGGATTGGTCTGCTTTATGGTAAAAAAAGTTGTCCTGGTTCGACAGACAATGGAATTGCGGAGCTGGGTGCTGATGTGAACATTCATCTGTCAGCGGCAGAGGTACATCGCCGAAATAAAGCGGGAAGCCGTACAAGAAGAATGAGTGGTGGGAGTCTGGAATGGTCTACAAAACCCTAAAACCCTAGACCCCTAAACCCCTAAACCCTAAACCCCTAAACCCCTAAACCCCTAAAACCCCTATAAACCCCTAAACCCTAAACCCCAAACCCCTAAACCCCTAAACCCTAAACCCCTAAACCCCTGAACCCCAGTCTGAAAAGTCCTGCTGTAGTGCGATCTCTAGCGGCTCAGCATCAACGCCTCGTCGACATGCGGGCCATGGCAGTACCACGAGCACCAGCCTTGCCGTTTAGGGTTCAGGGGCTTAGGGTTTAGGGTTTAGGGTTTTGGGGTTTGGGGTTTGGGGTTTAGGGTTAATTTAGGTCCAAAGGGTCCCAGTACCATTATAGTAGGTCCTTAGTAGGTGTTTGGGCCCCCAAAGTATATACTATACTATTACTTGGACCCTTTGGGTTATCTACAGTCTGGATAGGGAGGTGCTTTGAACAGTTTTGGGTTGGGGAGTCCTTCAAGCTCTTATCGGCAAGTCTTTTTAAGGGTCCTGAGAACTCTTTCAGGTCCTTACAACGCGGCCTTACAAAGGTTCTATAGTATCTGTAGGCAACTTACTTAAGATCTTTTGGCACGCGCTTCTATTTTTTCGATGTGTCGTCGTGTTCAAGCAGAGATTTGGGCCTCGAGGGTCGTTTTTAAAGTTCGGGCCTTTGGGTCAGAGTTGCTACCATGGAGATGAATAACATTACAACTATAGCCGGAGCTACATACAAATGTATAAATATATATATATATATATATGTGTGTGCTCTGTGTGTATGTCGCCAACACTATCACCATCATCAACGCCATCAATCAATGACCACAACACCACAACCATCTTGTTCTTCTGCTGCTGCTGCTCCACACCAGCTCTTTGCGTTCTGGGGCCGATTACGGTTCCACTGTGGGCCAGGATCATGTAGCTGCTGGCTGGCTCTGTTTCTACCTTCTGGACAGTGCGCAGATAATGTCGGAGTCTGCATAACTAGTACGCAAAGATATCCCCGTTTCGTGGCTGTACCATTATCCTTATTAAAGTGTTTTTACTGTTGATATTATTATTGTTATTGTTGTTGTTGCTGTTGCTGTTATCGTTACTGTTGCTCTTGCTGCTACTGCTGTGCACCTGCGGCTGCTGCTGCTACTGCTGCTGCAACTGCTACTGCTGCTGTTGTTGCTGCTCTTGCTGTTGCTGCTACTGCTACTGCTGCTGTTGTTGTTAATGCTGTTGTTATTGTTATTGTTGTTGTTATTGTTAGTTTCACGGTTAGTCTTCTTATTAGTATCAATAACATCAGTATCGGTACTGTTATTTTTACACTTACAATGATGATGCTGATGATGATGCTTATCATCACTATCTATAGTCTATTGTTTATGATCTTCATTATTGCTGTAACAGTATTACTACTGGTGATAGTACTTATATGGGATATTACATATTAGGCTGTACTCACAGTATTACTTTATACTAGCAGTACTACCATCATCATTCATATCAAATTGAACGCCAATAAAACTCGAAAGATGTCTTCAATATTAGGCTGTGTTTATTTATCTCGACTGTCGCATTACAAGATTGGCTCTTGCTCCTGCTCATGCTGCGGCTCTGGATTCTGTTCTTGCTCCAGCTCCCGCTGCGGCTCCTGTTCCTGCTCTTGCTCCTGCTCCTGCCCGGGCTCTTGATTTTGATAATGGGGGTGATTAACAAATGGGGAGGCCCATTTTCTACGGGGACCCGCATCTCGCCTCGAAGACCAACTACATGTGCCCCATCCCTAAACCAACCAAGTCATGCACCACCGAGCCAACAACACAGTAAGCCCTATACAAGCCGTGAGCTTTACACACCCCAACCAAGACACTGCAACCCTATGTAGAGCCCTTATCGTGCATGAATGCGTGAACACTGTATTTCCGATTCCGGCACGCAAATCGCCTCCCCCGGCGGTGTGCCGTGAAGCCGCACTTCAAGCTTCCTTCCAGTTAACAACGCACATTAAACGAGGGTATGTGGCTGCTGTGCACAGCAGAGCGTAGCTGTGACGCCTCGTTCAGGTCGTGGTCATCCCAGATGTTCATGCATTTCCTGTCGCCAGAAGCATGCAGCCTCATGTCAGGCTGCATCGGGCTGTTGCAGCAGATGCCCTCATCATCGTTCTCCTCGCTGTCACAGTCCGGACTGAGATGAATTGTTGGCATGCCCACCTCAAAGCACTGGGCTGCAATCTGGACACTGTAGTGATGCTTGCCGGAAACGACATCGACAAGAGGCTGTGCAGCACACCAATGGTTGTTGTCGTTTTCGTCTTCTTCCCCCGAGAACAGCTTCGTGGTCTCACCTTTGTCGAAGGTGAACACGGCGTAATAGATGTGATGATCGACGGTTTCCCTGGCGAGACTGGCTCCGGCAATTACGAATGACATACACTCAGACGAGTCCTTCAGGCAAAGCTCAGAGACGAGAGTCACACGAGGGAGCAAATGCTGGAAACGGCTCAGCTCCTCCAGACTCAAGACGCGCCAAAGCTGAGACTCGGATAGCGAGAAGGGTCCAGAAGCGTGGCGATAACCGTGCCCGTGCCGAGCCGCACAAGCGCTAGCAAGGGCCGTTCGCAACCTAATTTCTAAAAGAAACACAACATGTCAACGTTGTTTGGTCTGCCATCTCTCCCTTCCAACAAACAACCGGCACCGGAAAACGAGCACACAATGCTTATTGGTCCCAGCAACTCGGCATTCGCAGCAGCCAGGCTAATCACTGCATCGTCTGCCAGGAAGTCCAATGCGAGCTGCATTTTCAGCTCCAGGAGGACCCGCTGGCGCGTCAGAGCCATGGCTCAGTCACTGCCACCTGTATCCCAGAGTATGCGCTTTGCTTTAAGAGGTTAGCAGGCCCTGGTATGTAAGTCCTACTTTACACCCCAACAGATCCCGAAATCAGGAACCGCCGACTTCGCCCCGGCAAGTCTGCTTGGAGATTCATGGGTAGTTGGTAATTACAAGTGCGGGTTATATAAGTCCCAAAATATGGATGACAACATAAGTTACGCCACTTGTAACCCCTGAAACACATAGGCAATAGTTGGCACGACGATTTCGATTTGATGATCTGCTGGCGCCGAAACCCTAAGCTGTATGATCCTAATAACCTCAGAAAGAGCCACAACCGACTTGGCGCTTTTTTGGGGGTTTAATCTTCCGGCTACTCGTGCTCCAAACCATCGAAGTATTCTGAAGCCTAGCTTAGACAACAAACCCCAAAAGGGTCCAAGTAATCGTCTAGTATATACATTTGGGGCCCAAACACCTACTAAGGACCTACTATAATGGTACTTGGACCCTTTGGGAACCATACATGTAAGTGAAACCCAAAGGCTAAGCGCATGGAGTCCCCACTTCTTGCCCTGTAGAGCCCCGAACCCCCAGCCTCAAGCATCTGAAACCGAGCTGGTGGGAGGCTTTTTGTTTCTTTGAAGAAGCATCTCCAGGGTTTAGGGTTTAGGGCTTCGGGTTTAGGGTTTAGGTCAAAATCAAGGAATGTTCCAACAGCACAAAAACGGACGAGGGAAAGGGCTTTTGCGGGTTTGGTAAGCCCTAAAGCCCTGAACCCTCAAACCAATCACTAGTGCCTGGGAACGAACCTGTACGAAACCCAACAGAAGAATCCAACAAAAAAATGCCCTAGCATCCCGTATATCCCTTAGAAAGCCCTATGCCAACCCCTTACAAAGAATAGAAGGGTTGGACCACAGAGGCCACATTCGGCTTTGCGCCTCAAGTATCTGAAAACGAGCATGGGGGGTTTGTCTCTTTGAAGAAACATCGAGGCAACAACAACATAGATTCTAGAACCCTAAACCCCAAACCCTAAACCGCAAAGCGGTTTAGGGCAAAGGCGTGAACCCCTAAAACTCCGGACCCTCAAAGCTAGTCGCCTGGGAACCTGTACGAAACCCTACAAAAAAAGCCCCCAACGAAAAAAGCCCTAGAAACCCCTATAAAACTCTAAACCCCTAAACCCTAGACCCTAAACCGCTTAGAAAGCCCTATACCAACCCCTAAAAAAGGAACAGAAGACGGGTAAGGCCTGCTGGCGGCGGTTTGCACGGGCCAAGCCCTTTGTGCAGCGCCACCCTGGGTACTGTACGTAGGGGCCTTAATAATTAGAATAGGGTTTGGTGGTATTTCATACTATATCTATAATGTAAGGAACCCCCCCCAAAAAACAGTGTTGGTAATTTAGGCCCCGAAATCAAGCACTTGCGAATAGCAGGACTTCATAAGGTTTAGGCTTTAGGTTCATCATGGGTTATATAATCATGGCTTTGCAGGTCTAATTTGGAGTTGAGCGTGAGTAGGGGTTTAGAATATTGGGCTTCGGGATTGCAGGTTGAGGGGGGTTCTTCATGATGAGATCAAACCAAATTTCGATTGTTTTAGGGCCTATCGTAGTAACTGACTACAGACGCCCCCCATAAAAAGGATTCTCGGGACAAGGGGCGTGCTGTGTGGGTCCCATGGGTGAATGTCAAGGGCACAGGGTGCTGAGACGAGGCCAACACTGCATACTTCAAGGAAACCCTAAAGCTTAAACCCAATAACTGCCCATAAAGTCTAAACATGTGATGCGGAGCTGCGCCCAGAAAACTAAATCCCTATACTCTGGGGAGAGGCACCTAGAGAAACCCGAACCCTCATAGAAGCTCCTTGCAGAAACCCCCGGTCGAACCCACACTGCTGAACTCACTGCTCGGTGATGCTAAGAAAAGCTCACGGAATGCAACCACCCTTCCATAATCCGAGGAATGCACGAATCTCCCTTTCAAAAATCGCAGGCAAGAACTACTTCTAATAATTTCGGCGCCTGGGCTACACATGCTTACATGCTTGATTTGCGTCCCAGAATCAGGTTGAGGTAGTGCTGCACGACTTTATCTTGCCTTGGCTGTTGCTGCAGCTGGCAAAAGGGGAAAGAACAATCGCGTCCCGCACGGTCGGCGACGGTCGGCTGCTCTTCGCCCCTAAACCTTCCACCTTAAGAATACGGTCACCACCGGCATCTCCAGTACTACCACCCTCCCAGGGCGAGTTCCTAATTTCCTAAGCTAAGTGCCTTTTCGTGTCGGCTTTGTATGGATGCGGTAAAAAGCCTTGGGAGAAAGCGCAACTACTTGAAGGATGACGGGACCTCGGACATAATTAAGTACTCCGACTATCACCATGCTGAGACCGCATGTAGCACAGGCTCCGATGACTTCGTGCTTAGGCTCTGATTAGAGTGTAGATGGGCTGCAATGTGCTCGCACTAAGCCCAGAACAGCTGAAAGTTCAAATCTTACATAGCCCTACGGCTCGAAATAAATCCAAAAACCTGACATGTGGTCTTTGCCCATAGGCTCCAAAGTAGTTCCTTTCGGGATTACCTTATAGGATCCTAAGTATGAAACACAAGAAGGAACTACCATGGAGCCTATAAGTGGGCCCAAGAGTCTGACCCCAAAAGAGTCCCTGCGTGGAGGCCTCAGGGCCAACCAGGGGGCGGTGTGCTGCAGCCGTCCGCTGTCGATTCCAAGCCGCAGATGCAGCCCCAATCTGTGGCCAACCTAACGTTGAGGGAAACTACAGCTGGGGAGTTTAGGGTATGTAGGGCGTCTATAAGGCTTCTA